GGCATTTGTACTCCATATGCTCCTAATCACTCCTTCATTACTTCGAATCACAATCTGCGGATTTGCTGGCTGTTCCAAGGATCTGTCGTGATTCAACTGGGCTTAAATGTTCAGCTGCTGTGCTCCTTGCCTGGCTGAACTTCCTTCTACTAAACTTTAGTTTTGCCGAAGCCCTTGATTTTTTCAGAAAACCTAAATCTTCAGACCTTTTAATAAATAAATCTAAATAAAAAACCTATAATAAATAATAATAAATCTTTGAAACACTTTTATATTAACAAGGGAGAATAACAAAAATTGGGAAAAGGATGCTCATTAAAGAAGTTCTGAAGACAAAAAAAAATATCTGACCACAACCATCACAGTTTAAGCAGAAGCAAAATATAATCTAGCTGAATATCTTTCCAGATGGTCAGTTTCTGCAAATTAATGCATTAATGCATTCAGGTGTGAATTAAAGATTTCAGACTCTACCCAGCCTCACAAAACAATTTTGTTTGGTTGCAATTAGACCCATGTACTAAAGATGAGCCTAAAATTTGCTAGTAATTTGGGAATTGTCACTGTGAAGTTGCTGTAAATTCTCAGCAGCACAGTCACAAATGAAAGCACAATAGCTGCATTAGCTAAAAAGCACTGTATCACAGGGTACTGCCAAAACATGTACCTGTGACTATCTAATCATCAGTAACAAAAATGTCTAGTTTTCACCTGGAATCGCTAAGTTTATACTGGGATCTCTAAGTGTATACTGTTTATACGGTATATTTTTAGAGGTAGAGAAAGTATTGTCCCAGACAGCATCCTCATCAGGGCCACCATACTGTACATCTCGTTTATCTCTCTTACTACATATAAAGGTAACCGGGAGGAGACATACATTAGGCAAGAGAAGAAAGTCATACAGAGAAGAGACTGAACCCCTTGTTCTTGTGTACATTAAACAACATCATCCTGTCATGAATTTTATTTTATTTTTTTTAATTTCATTTATTGCTTCTATAGTTTTTGCTAGCCTTCCTAATCTGCCTTGTTAGATATGTGCAAACTTTACTAGATTACTAATTATTCCGGAATCTGAATCTTTGATATAATCTAAACTAGAGTGAGCTGTGGTCCTAGTACAGACCCCTGTGGTACTCCACTAATTACATCAACTCAATTTGAGTATTCACCCATGATATGTACCCTATGTTTTCTATTTAATAACCAATTCTCAATCCACACACTCACATTTCAAGAATGCCTACCACTTTAAATTTGAAAGCTAATCTTTTACAGGGAACTCCTTCAGCCATGTCAATTTAAGCCTTATTAGAGGTTTAAGGACATCTGCTGGGCTCATGGGCTGCTTTTCCTAATTAACAAAACTAAAAAGAATTAGTTTCACATTCTATGTATGGTTTACCATAAGGAAACGAAATGAACTTGAGGAAATTCTTTTTATAACTAATATCCTACCATTGAATCAAGGTAGTAAAGAGGATCATTTACTCCAGTCTCTAACCTGGGTCCAGGAGGTATCCAAGAGGTATAATAGGTAAACAGCAAATCATTAATTTCTAAATACATGAAATAATTTAAATCTGATAAGTTAAGCAAGTGACATGTTAAATTAAGTCATTTAGAGGTTTAGAACAAACATTACAATACCCTTCAAACATGAAGGACGAGAGCTCTCTTAATTGAACACATTGCTTGCTTAATTGACCACTGACTTACAAGTGTTTCTAATCTTTAAAAATAAAAAAAAACAAGCGTGTCAGGGTGACCTATAAGAATAATTGGACTTGGGCTCTGCAAAATCATACAGAATCTGTTTTAATTTAGTTTAGAACCTCAAGTACATTCTCTTCACCAATCTACTTAGAACTAAAGAAAACCCAAATGTAATGAAACATAAAGATAACAAATGAAAGAGATGATTTCCTACCAGTTGGATTTGAAGGTATAAGTTATCTAATGTACAAGTGCACTTTATATTTCACAGGGAGTCAATACAATTTTACTTTTAGTTAGAACAGAATGTGCAGAATTCTGGACAGACCAAACCTTACTTAAAACCTCAGATACAATGATAAGTCTTATTTATAGTGATATAAATAAAATATATATCTAATAAGTCATAAATATGTTTATATCTAATCTATAAATTGTATATCTAGTCTGTAGTCTATAAATTGTATATATATTGTACATTAAGACTTATAGTGATTTGTCAATATTAACTTTAGTCTATAGTGTATAGTCATCATAGACTTGGAAAGGGAATTCTGAAGTAAAACAATTTGACCATTTTATAATAATAGTTAAAACGTTTAACTTTTCAAAAGTGTTCATTCTAACCACCCACATGCATTCCAGGATATATTTTCAACCTGTAATATAGGGAGACTAGCGGAGAGAATTGGCAGTGCAATGATTGTGAAGGGATTCAAGGCAGGATCAGTAAGCTGCTGAAGAAGAAAGTAAGGTAAACAACCACAAACAAAATGCGGAAGCAAAATCAAAAACCCAGGCTGGGGTCAAAAACGTAACAAAATTAAGGTTGAAGGCTGGAGTGAGTGTGGGACAAAACCAGAGGTAGTAACTCAAGCAGGGCAGAGACAACTCTGAGGCCAAAGCAAGCTTCAAAACTGAGCAGTGAGTGAACAGACAAGCTGTTTTTAAATAGTGGTCTGAAATGATAAATGGATGCAGGTGTGGCTGATAATTATTGAAGCAGCACAGTGGACAGAAGTCACAAAAAAATTTCTGATGTGAGAGAGGTGCACTAGCTCAGAGAGTGGAATGCTGGTGCCAAAAACATCACCAACAGGGTTCGAGAACCACCACTGCACAGCGAGCAGAAAATCATCATTTTAAACTGCGTAATATTATCATGCCCCACAGCAGCCCACATCTCTTCCATGATCCTCACTGCCACCCAAAAAAACAAATAGCTTCTGTGGTTTAGGACCAAAATGAAAAAAAAAAACACAACCACAGGCTCAAAATAACACACCTCGGCTGAACAGTTCAGCAGCAACAGTGTTGTAATAAATTAAATAAAATGGCATTCCAAGAATGACAATAAAATAGTCAAGTAGAGCACAATAATATTCCCCCACCCCAATATACACAAAATGCATGAACAATTCATGCATTTTGTGTTCAAAAGAATCAGATCCCTTACTTTGCAAGGGAATCTAAACAAATGCTGTAATAACTGGACTGCATGCAGAAGAAACTTCAGCCAGTGAAAAACAAACAAAGCAAAATGATAGTCCACAAGCCAGACCGTGATTTTATGCAGTTTCAAGACAAATCATTCCCTATCATGAGCAATTATGAACAGATTAAACTGGCCACCATGGATAATCTTCAAAATTGGCCCTAGGTGTGAGTGTGTTTAATGAATTAGTATAATGATGCCCCAGTTTCCTCCTACACTCCAAAGACATATTTGCTGGTTAATTAGCTTGTGGGAAAACTGGGCCTAGTGTGACTGTGTGCATGTTTGTGTCTGTGTGTGCCCTCCAATGGACAGGTGTCCCACTGCCAGGGTGTACCCAGCCTTGAGCCTGTTTCTTGCCAGGATAGGCTCCTGTTCTTCCACGATATCCTATTGCTGAATTGGAAGAGACAGAAAATGGACAGATCGATGGACAATATTCATCTTGGCTGGATATGGCAAGAAGTACCAAACTTCAAGCTGGAAAAGGCATTACTGCATCAATCAGTACGATGAAGATGTTTTAAGGTGAAGGTACCAAGCCTGGTCTTCTGTGCCATGGAACCACTATAAATCATGTATGCCCTTCCAATTTCAATGGGCCTGGTTATAGTCAACAGTTGTTTCGGTACCCTTTGACGGGCCAACACAATGCAAGTTAAAACCACAGCTTCTGCTCTCCAGTACAGGATGACAGGATTTAAACAGAGATATCTCCTTCTCTGGCTGTCTGATGCTGTCACGGTTGTTGAGTTTTCACCTTCAAAATGTCCACCTGCTTATTATCTTAGTCTGCTGATGACAGACCAGCTACAACCCTTTTCTCCAGCTGCTGAGGCATGATCCTCGGAGTGGCTCAGTCAGTTTTAATATAAGCAAAGGCAGTCCCTCAGGCAACACAAACCCCCCCAAAAAACTCAGTAAGCTGGGAGCCAATTCCCTCGACTAATTCCCTTGGTTAGTCAGCACAGGAAAGTGGGGTGTCTGCAGCAGCGAGGAGAGAACTTGTTTCCCCTTTAACTTGTTAGTGGAGGGAGGCTACTGACGTGTTGCACTTCTCGGGAGCTTGCTTAACAGGGTGCAGCTGCAAAAATACTGACATAATTCTGAAACTTACCTGAAATGTAGAAGAAAATTCCTACTTGTGTTAGAATCTCTTCTTTTTTATTGTGAATGTACTTGCAATGGGAGTGCTGGACTATACACTATACACTAAACTGACAGGATCCTCATCAGGACCAATGGACTGATGCCCAATGGAGGGATAGTGAAAACAGAGAATGCTGTGGGTGGTTTCTGGTGTTGCCTATTGTTGTACTCAGGTCAAGGCTGATCAATGTACTACAAGGCTAAACAAAACTCTGCAGCAGAACTACTCCACAGGGTGCCCCAGCTCCTGCCTCTCAAGTAAAGGGACAATTGATAGTAGTTAATTCACCTAACCAGTATCCCTTTGGACTGAATGAAGAAAAAAACAAGAGTTAAAACTCACTTAACATGGGAGGAACTTGCAAATGCCACCCAGTCCAGCACCAGAGGCCAGAACTGAACCGAGGACTTGGAGCTGTGAGGCTGCAAGGCTATTTCCAGTGCCAACATGCAACTTATGAATACAGTATGTCAAGGCTGTTTATTTCAAGATCTTGAGTGCAGATCTTGCAGACCATCAGGAGATGTACATGAATTCAAGGAATAACATTTTAGAGATGATTAATTTATTAGAGAGTCTAATAAGGCTTCTGAGAAAGGGTTAAGAACACAAACCCCAACCAAATCCCTCACTTACTCATAATCCTGCTTCTTGTGCATGAATATGTCCTCTGGGTCCAGGTCTGCTGAGGGCAGCTCAGGTGTGAGGTCGAGGCCTGCGCTCCCAGCCAGAGTGCCCTGAATGCTGTGACTGTACTGCTGCAGTCGTTTCCACAGTTCATTGTAGAGCCTCAGCAGTTTAGGATATTCTCCCTCTAGAGCCTGCTTCAGGAACGTGGAAGCTACAAACAGGAACAAATGGGTTACTGAAAGGCTTGCTGTCACTCTAATTGTTTTTTTAAAGGTTAAAAAATCAAATGCTACAAATTCTGGGATTAAAAATGCTTTATTAACAACTGAAGCACGCGCATCCATCAAATGTAATATGAAACATAGCCCTGGATTAAATCAATTATTTAAGGCAGGGAGTAGGCTACATACTGGACTGCTATTGCTGAACCAATGCCCTGTAGTCTTCAGTTGGTCAGTGATGGTATCAGGCAATACTGCAGAGATAACCCTGCAGCACTTCCTCTTTGACAATCAACAGAAGACAGAGTAAACCCATAATGTTTCATATAATTAACTTCCATTTCCTGCCTCAGGTAAACTGGAGCAGCTATTCCCCACACTTTCCCTCCCCTGGCCTTCAGTGTGTAAAGCGGAGCAGACCCATCATATGCTCTCAAACTGTTGACGCTGTGTATCTGCCATCTATACTCACCTATTTTTATCAGCAAATGTGTGGCAGAATCAACAGCAACTTCAAAATTGATCATTTGAAAATATGTAGATTTATGTTGCACATTACTCATTTTCCACACTGTACAAGGAACTGGAAGGAATGAGGGCAACACTATAAATTGTCATTTGTACTGAACTGCAATAACCGAAAACATCAATTTTGGAGGCAGCTCCACTAAGTGCAAATGTGGAGATGGCATAAAAGTTGTGTAAACATGTACTTTTTATTATTTGTTAGATACATATTAAGCATGTATATGATGTAATAATGAACTATACTGAGTACTCACTTCAATCATTTGTAAAGGGTAAGTGACCTTCTCTCATGTACTCTGTCCCTTGTGTGGCTCACCTATTGTTACTGTACAGTTTACCTGTGTAAACATGGGGCTGTGCCTTTGATCTAAGACTTGATCTATATTTATGAGTTTATAAAGCTGAAGATCTTACTGTGGCAACTGAATATCACATGTGCAGTGAAAGTTGGCTGCTGTCCATCGCTGCTTACAGGACTTCACAGATAATACTTAAACCCTCCTTAAATGTTGTCCCATCGCCCCAGTGAGATAATCTGTCTTTCAAGAAGAGAATATATTTTCCACAGTGTAATGGCTATAGGCTGTGAGCATGTGTGGAAAGCTTTGAAAAAGTAGGAATCTAACACAGAAGGAAAAACAAGGGACAACTCTGGTTGCAGCTAAGCACTGTTATTGCTAAGTATACTCACACTACCACAACAACACAAATCTTTTGCAAGTACACCATAATAAATCCCGGAAATTACTTAAACCTTGTGTTGTCCTTTAATACCTGACAGTAGGAAACATGCTTAGTGTGTCTGGAAATGTACTTTGTTTCATGCTTCAAAAATTTGATAACTGCACATTTCTTGAACAAATGTTTGATTTCAACACACATCTATCTGCAAAAGCCAAAAGATAAAATATAATAATAACAAAAAATATTTAAGTGTTCTAAGATTCTGAAGATGCACAACTTGGAGCATAAGCAGCTGCAACAGAAATTATCTCTGCCATTTCTTTTTCCAGTTAACATCTTAAAAATACAAATACACCTACTGTAATACAAAAAAAATGAACCTTTGTGTAAAATACATTTGATAGAATGAACAGGAATGTTTTGCCCAAGCTCATTTTGTCATCACCAACATGACAAGACAAAGCAGACAGGCCACAGTTAAACCAAGGCTGCTAACATCATAAATAAATCTCATTATCAAATGACTATAAATATGCAAATGATGCAATTTGTGAGTCTTGTTAAGAAGTGCAACTTTGTCTGAGAAGGACTAGCATTTTAAATTACCAATCAAACGGTTTACAGAGAACAAGCCATGGTTTTTCTGTGCATGACTTCAGCAGGCATAACAATGAATCTCTGGGATTTCAGCTTCCAGTCCCCTGATACCACTGCGTCTGTGGGGACTAGTCTATTTACTTTAACAAACAATTAATCTGCATTCTTGTGGCAAATAATTTGCTACAGCACATTAACTGGCATCTCGTGCTTCACAAAACTTATTTAAACTGAACAAAAAGGAACTGAAGCAAAGCCAACGAAATAGAAATGAACAAGTTGCATATTTGAAGGTGAAACACCTGAGATTTGAACACAACAGTAAGTCCTAATGAATTTGTTGAAACGTTTCCATTGCTTAAGGAACAAATTATGCCAATTTAAAGAGAGCTTAGTTTAAAAAAAAGTCTGCGCTACATCAACAATAATACTGTACATTATATACAATATAAGATTTTGACAGCACAGTTAGCCATTAACACAAATTTACGTATTCACTGACAAAAGACAGAGAATATCTTCAGCTTGATGTTTAAAGTTTCATGACGTACATGAACCACTAGAAAAGCAAAAAAAAATAGATACAACCTCAAATAAGGTTCTATCTCTTTAAAAATCAACAAAAACAAGCCAAAAAAAAAAGCCCCAAATGATTTAGTCTCAAAACTTTTGTTACCATGAAGCATTCATCCATTTCACCATGGATTAATCTGTCATAAAACAATACTGTTTCATTCTAGATCTATTTATGCCAAATCATTTTAAAGAGTTATACACTAGATGAAACATGAACATTTATTTATAATATTTATAAAATTGTTACCCAAATAAATTCAAGAAGCTTTGGTAAAGACTTAAAGGTGATTTTACAGCAGATGAGCTGACAATGCTCAGAAAACCAAGGTTTTACAAAAAAATAAAGGCTAAACTTCTCTTTTATCACCTCAGTTTCAAGTTTTGGTCACTTCACTAGTTCTGAGACCTATGGATGCTTCTGAAAAATTATTTGGGTTGAACAATTTTGTAAATAATGAAGCTTCCATCAAGATGGAGTAATCTGTCAGACAACAATTAAGTCCTTTGTGTGTATGTCACAACTAGTTTTCAAAATTGTTTTAGAGGATTGTTTTAGTTATTTTGTAATAAAGAAGATTTTATATGAATGAAAAGAAAGACTTGAAAAGAAAGATGTTCTGAAACAGAATTTAATCTAAAAAATGTAAACCTACCTTTTTAATCTATTTAACAACATAAAAGTCTAAATGTCAATACTTTTGAAGAAAGGTACAGCAATAAAAGAACTGGTATCATCGACACAGGATCTTTGGAAGGTGAAGATTTCTTCTTATAAGATGTACTCTCGGACCTCCATTTGTTGGTAACCTTTCAATGTGTTCAGAGACAGAGAGGACATGAGCATGTTTCTAATGATCTGTTAGATCATTTATTACATTACGACTATAGATCTCTGGCTGATATACATGTGAATTTGGATTTGACCAAGCACTGTGGCATGGTTGTTAGCACTATTACTTGTCAGCTTTTGATTTATAGGTTTGATTTGCAAGATTCCTACGTGGAGTTTACATGTTTTCCTCATGTTTGCATCTGTTTTTTTGCTCCATCTTCCATCCACCTTTCAAATTCATTTAACAGGCATGAATAGGCAAAAGTGTTTCTGTGTGCTTGTTGTGTGCAATGAAGCAATGTATTTTCCAGGGTGAAGTTCTGTCTTGTGTCCTACGACTGTTATAGGCAGTGGGTTGCTGTAATCCTAATGAGGAAAATGCAGCTTTCTGACTTTTATTTAGACTCACACAATTTGCTTATCCTTTCTATTACAGCTCTTACATTGGGTGAATGAATTGGCTTAAGGGTGAGTTGTTCAACACAGTGTTAATTAAATGTTACGCTCCTGGTTAGCCAGCTGCAGCCCAAATACAGTATACAGTATGTGCAATCTGTGATAAATTAACAAACATTACGTATGAAGATCAGGTTAACATAAAGGATGCTTTACACAGAATATTGGAAACGTATCGATTATAATTGCAAGAAATTCTCAAGGTTTTGGAGCAGATGCACTAACATTTTAGTGAATAAACACGACACCGGTGAATTCATAATGCTTATTTACACTTGTCAACAACAAACGTTATCAATCAACGCACAGTCTACTGTGAAAGCCGCGGGCTAGGAGCATGTTGCCTCCACTGGAAGCGATACAAGCCGTACACTTGCAACACATGCTTTGCACCAGGTTGGAGCTGCCGTGCTGTGGAGCTGTATCTGAGTCCTCTCATAAAGCCTAGACATGTTGGTGCCTCTTCACTGGTCTCTGAGCCCTCGGTTCTCTCCATTGTCCCAACAATGTTCAACAGGGCTCAGGTGTGGCAAACAGGCCATCCAAAGTATACAGTAACTGTCACATTCTTATAGTGTATTGCAAGAAAGCTATTGTTGTGCCTGAAAATACGCGTTGTTCTGCTGCTATGCTGTCACGTTAGAAAGAGCCTGCAGAAAGTACAGCAAGTAAGGTCCCTGGTCTTGGTCAGTTTAGCCTTCTGTAGTAAGGTTGCCATCTACCAGTATATTGGTGGTGGTGGACGGGAGTCCCCATTACCTGTAAAGCGCTTTGAGTGGAGTGTTCAGAAAAGCGCTATATAAGTGTAAGCAATTATTATTATTATAAGTGGAGTTCTGTGGCAGTAGACATTCCTGTCCAGACCACTACACCTGAGCATCCTCATTGATTGGTCTGTTGTTCACAACAATTACCATATCATTCTGCACATCTGCGCCACATTTGCCTGTGTGCATCAGTGTCCTCTACACAAAACCTGGATTCACTACATTGCTCGTGAGCCCTCTTGAGGTATGTTAACCCAGACTCCAGCACAGCAAAAGCATTAAGTCGTTGTTCTCTTGATGAGCGGGGCATACTAGCTCCTTTCGGTGTTTCACTAGGCTTAACATCCCAAAGATTGCATCACTTTCACCCGTGCCTAATCCACAGTCTCACTAATGTGGTTATTCAGTGTGCATATAAAACACTCAAACTCAGTCACTTGAGTGTATCATTATCAGTCATGAATCATCAATTAATCAAAATTATGCCAAAAACGTTAAGTCAACATCCAATAGCCGTGCAATTTTCTGAAACACACACTCAGAAAAGCTTAGGTTCTTTTGCTGCTCTGTACTTTGTAATACTTTGAATTAAAATTTAGCTTTTACTGACAGTGATAATTTGTGAAGATCAGCTCTTTTGTGAAATTACCTTTATTACTGGTGAAAAAAACAAAGATTTCACAAGTGTAGAAATCATTAACCTCTTTATGGATCAATGAAGATAAATGTGCTCCTAAAGGCAATGTTTAACACATTAACTAAAGTACTTTAGCCATATGACGACCTTATTATTACACATTTAGCTTCCTTTAAAATACTTAATCTCTCAGAAGGTCAGAGATACTCCAAAGAGAATGTCCTGAAATCACAGTCGGCCCCTTTTCATTAAAGGACAGCTGTTGCGTGACGTGGATGTGCTTGTGTTCATTAAATACCATCTTACAGTGCTGGGTAGATGTGATCGGTTTATGACTGTGACCATGAACTCCCAAATTCCCAATGTTATTTTCCAAAGTATTCTGTAAGCTCATATATAAAGATTGCCGAGTTCCATCAGCATCACACAGCTGGCAGTAAAAAGCGTACTGTTGTGGTATGCTGCAACATGGAGAGTGAGAAAGTATGAGATGAAAATGATCAGGTTAAATGATCTGATGGGGAATTTTGCAAAAGATAGAAATTTTAATTTTATTTTTTAAGATCTGGGAGAATTTCAGTTACAGTGTTTTTATTTTTTGTGGAAATATCAAGGATGTACAAAAATAGGGTGTTCGGGCATACATGTATAATACCATAGAATTAATTATTATATATTAAGAGATTTCTACATTTTTGTTTTGTTTTCAAGAAAATCAAGATAATGTTTCTAATTTTACAAAAAAGATAAAAAGTTTCCAAAAAACAGCTCATGATTGATTGCCTAAACAAAGTGTAGAATGGGGTTTTGTGCACCTGAAATTGCTGCCTTCAAGACTTTACACAGATAAGGAGTCACGCAGACTCAGATGCTGCAGAGTGCAGTATCATAATGATAAAAACAAGGTGGTTTATGACAAACTGCAGAGCCAAGCACAGAATTATTTTCAAAGGTAGGTTTCTTCGGTGAATGAGTCTTAGCCTCCTGAAACTTCTTTTCTCACAACTGAGTCACAACTGAGTCTTAAATGCAATACTTAAAGAGCACTCTACATTGCAAACCTTAGAGTACTCTTCAGCATGCATGTATAGCTACATTCATGTCATATTTCCAGCACTGCCATTACATGGAAACAGACTGTCAAAATCACCACATATTTAAGTGTCAATATAACAGACATGAACTGCACACTAAATTATTCCAGAAGACACACTGAACTGTAAAGACAATGCTCAAATGTAAAGAATGGTGACTCATCTTCCCATATCATCAATTTTCTGAAAACCTAATGCTAAAGGAGACAGGTGCCCTAATTCTTTTCCCCTAAAGTATAAGTACAGTGCTAGGCTGTCCAGAATATAGGAGCAGTCAACAGTAGTTTATCTTCAAACTTGTTCGCCAATACTTTCGGGATACTCACAGTTTGTTGCCTGCTGGAACTGAACAGATAGAATCTGCGTGACAGAATTCCAGAACGTATACAAGATGTCAGCTTGGCCATCCTGCAAAAGATAGCAATAGAACTAAACACATGGATTCCTTACAAATGAATAATTCATAATATAATACTCCATAAATAAAATATCTGAAGACATTCCGTCCATTAAAAGTATATTTTCATAGCAAAGTGAAGCTGCAGCAATTTGGAAACTATCTACACTATATATAGTTAGGAGATTTGTTATGGTCAACTTCTTCAATATCACTGCCCGATTAAAGCTTGGCAAAGTCTTCAGTAATGATCTCCTCTGCCTTTTCACTGGCCAGTTTATTTTCCTCCCATTATAGCTACAGAAGTCACAAAGTAAAGGCGAACAGAGCAGACAGTCAATCTTGGAAGTAGCATCAAAGAAAACAGACTAAAAGAACTGTGACCCATTGACTAACCAAGTGAAGAAAATTGTTTTATAATAATACTTGCTTCAAATTGTGTTTTTTAAATGATTGATTTAGCTTTAAGCAGGGTTTTTTCCTTACAATAAAAAATATACACATTTTTGATCGACTACCACAAAACAGAATGTTTTTAACAGAATTTCTTTCCCCAACTTCTCATTAAAAAAAAATTAAAATATAATAAATTGTTACAAAGAAATGACAATACGATGTTAGATGGCGATACATAATCTGATTTCAGCATATTGCCTTCTCTGCGAAAAAGCACATTTTTTAACACCATCAACATAAGTGAATGTCTCATCATACAGATATGACAAAATATACTGTCACAAATAAAACACCTGATAACGTCTATCCCATCCACTTAATAAAAATACTAGAGGAATGCTTTTGAGAGACATTACATTGTATTATAATGAACAGAACACCACATCCAACCATCTGCCCATTTTTGTGATCCCATTATTCAATGCAGGGTTACGGGGGTCCTATCCAAGCAAATAATGGGCACATTGTCTTTGGACTGTGGGAGGAAACCCATGCAAACACGGGGAGAACATAAAAGTTCAACGCAGACAACACACCAGAATTGACTCTGGAGCCCCAAAGATGGGAGACAACAGCGGAAACCACTGTGCCACCCTACAACAAACTCTTATTTCAGAAACCCTGTTTACGTTTGGAGAATGTCCATACACACATCATTGAGAAATAGGTCAATATAGGAGAGCTCACGATGAACACGTTTTTTTCTTATACACTTAGAATTAATTATCTTTCTAATTAGTGTCTGGTGAGTGTGTGGACAGTGGCAACAAGCTTGGCCAATTCTCTGCTGGCACTTGATGAATTCTGGTCAAATAATGCCGTAGCCCAGGAATGATCTGGTAACATCCTGGCTAGAAGGCACAATATGGACTCCAAACTTGTGCTTCTACTGGAAGAGGAAATGGAACACTTCTTGTTGAACAATTATGATCTAAGAATGGTGCATCCTATGGAACAGAGAATGTAGTCTTAGAACAGTTTTCCTGCATCTTGAAGATACCTAGATACAATATTGGTTGATTGGTTGACAGTATTAGTACTTTCGTATTATACTTTACTTCAATCATGGGGTACACAGAATGGTATTGTGGAGAGGAAATCACAGTTACATAGCGCTCAATCATCGTATTGAAAAGTAAATCCAAAGATTTCCTGCCCTTCAAGCTTCAGGCAAAGCTTGCTCTTGCATTCCAACCTCATTAGTATTCTGTGGTGATACAAGTACAGAAATGAGAGTATTAAATATTGATACCTTTGAATGAACATTTTTACTTTTTTAAATGTATTATTGAACAAATGCAGTAGAACCTTCCTTGTGAGAAATCAAAACATTTCAGAGATGAAGGCTGACCGGACTGATTTTAACTTTATTCAACTTCTATACATTCCTGCTTTAAAACAATAAGACAGGAAAACAAGTTAATTAAAAAACACAATGACTAAATTGACATACAGTTTGTTTAGACATTATGCCAACTTCAAAATCTTGAAACTGGACAAAGTCCAGGGGCTCAGCCTTGGTCATTTTGAAACAACATCAAACAAAGAAGTCTGGCCAATTCCATTCATTTGGGGGAAACTTGGCCACAGTCAAATAAGGACACAGCCCAGAAACTGAACTGGTGATGTCTGGGCTATAGTCAACAATCTGCACTCCAATGAACTGTGCTGGAAGCGTAACAGGGATACTATTCTTAGTGAATATTTATAATCTGAGAATGGCACACGATATGGTAAATTGAATTTACTCCCAAAGCAGTTTTCCTCTATCTTAAAGAAATCCAGATTAAATATTGTTAGAAGTCATACTCTAGCCAAATCATACATAAACAGTACAGTATACAGTACAATGGACCGTGGAATCAGAATAGTGTGTTAGGTAAACAATTCAATTGCTAAGCCACAAGGTGGTTAGAAGAGAATGACTATATGTAATTCCAACCCTTGAAACTTTCTTACATATTATTCCATAATAATGATCAGTGTTTAGCCGATTCATTTTTTACTGACGTTGACAAAGAAAATTAGTGAAGCAGGAAAGTAGGGGCTCTCCACAAATACGTAGGCTCGGTAAAAAGGCTGTTCAACATCAGTCAGAGTCAGCATGCCTTTGTTGCTTAACCTCAGTCTTCTGTATTGAATATAAAAACAGATTAAGGAGGTTGGAAAACAGTTCCAACATAAATATGTAAAAAAATATTTAAATGTACTCAATGCACTGCACTTCCATGACTACATTTTTAAAACACAGTTTTCATAAAATGTCTATGACCCTAGCATTTCTCAATCATATACTGACATTAAACAACCATACATGAATAAAATATGTCTTACTGGTTTTAAGGTACATACATATGCAGTTAGGAACACTACAAAAGTGCAAACTTTTCATTTTCTCAGAGGAACAACCATGTATACCATCTTCATCAATATCAACAGAAATACAATCCTATTGTTAGCCAGAAGAACACAACTGAACTTAATATGTAGAATAAACACTGCTAACACAAAACATTACATAATGAGGTTTTCCTACACCCTACTGTAAATCCCATGTTTCAGTCTAGTGAAAAACAGATACATGTACAGTATGTCAAACGACCTGATGAAATATAAATAACAATTTGAGATAAATACTTTTAAGGAAAGGACAGACATTGAGTAAAATAAAAGTAGTTTTGATATAAACATAAGAAATGACTATAAATCCTAAAAAAATTTGCTGTGGATGTCAAACAAAGCTATTTGCACTTCCTATCACAATCACATCAACTTCATTCCGGCATAATTCCTGGGCTGAAAGCAGCATGCCTAAATGAGTTATGGGATGCAATGGATTATCATTTCAACTCTGCGGCAAATCATCCACTAACGGCTGCCTGCAACTCTCTGGGGCTTTGGCTGAAGGTCAGTGCTTTTCCCAAAGATAGCCTTCTCAAAGTAAAAGGAGATTCTTTTTAACCTTGATGAAAGGGGCAATCTTCTTTTCAAAGTCTATTTTCTGACTCCATCGCAGAAGAACTACTATTTCATAACAAAAGGTCTGCCTTTCAGAAAGGAAAACAAGATAAATAGAAGTCACAGATGGCACAGACTGGCACCCATTCATTTACACAATAAAAACACAAGTTAAATCTACAGTAACTGTAACCACAGATACAGATCTACGGTTATACATACGAGCAGTACTTTTTTATGTGTTAAGTGTTCATGAGCCCTGAGCCTAAAGCCTTTAAGTGGGGGCCCACATCATCCCCTACTGAATACAGTGTTTAATATGCCCCAGCAGATAAATAAGAAATTACTCAACTAATTAAATTAAAGGAAAACATAAGGTCTGCCATTGTGCCAGTAGAAAGGATAACTCCCCTTCTTCATGGACATGGTCATTGGAGTTTCAATATTAAAGTTGTCAGCACCTATCACTATACTGGGGGCATTGGTTTGGAAATTCTGGTGAGTGTAAGGTGTCACTTACTGGTCCACACTATTAGCCTAGTTTCCTTAGAGGTGTCTCATCCCAGTAATGACCGGATCCAACCTTGCTTTGAATCTGAGATCTGGAGAGACTGTGCACTAAATAAAAATAGCTGCTTTAAACAACAAACTGTAAAAGAGTCAAACTTATTATTTGAAAAGATCAGAAAACACCAGAATATTTGGCAATTATGTTACTCACACAGGTTAAGCTTAATTATGATAAGCAAGCACTGTATATTGCCTAAAGGGAAAACAACCCATTGTTAATTTCAAGGCAGATTTCTGTAGATGTCTCTGAAGATATCCAAAAAATAATAGTTACCTGCAATTCTAAACTTTCAAATGAAATACTCCTAAATTCTATCATTAAAATTGGGTTTTGATTAATAAAAAAATATGTTTGTACTTGAACAATCTGTACAAATTTCTTGTTCAGTGGATCGAGGGGTAGAGATATAGCTCAGTTAAAGACTTCTCTTCTAGACTGCAGTACAATTCTATAACAAGGTTTGGCACTGCAGACAGCCAGCTGGCTCAGACAAAACGTGTGTATTCCTTAGACACACTGGCACTGCCAATGGCGACTATAACTTTGCAGGTTTTACATTGAAAAAGCAGTTAAAGCAACAGCCTTGGAGAAAGGGAAAAATTAAATTCACTGCATTATGTTTCTACTGTACAGTATGTAGCACCTGTGGCTGGAGAGCTCTGAAGGCAGGCAATGGAATTCAGTGACACAGTGCTGCTCAATCATCCTACTGAATAGTGCATCCAAAGATTTCCTGCCCTGCAAGCTTCAGGCAAAGCTAGCTCTTGGATTTCAACTTCATTAGTATTCCATGGTGATACAAGTACAGAAGGGAGAATATTTAAAAAAAAACTGACATGTTGGAATGAGCATTTTTACTTTTTTAAACCTATTACTGAAAAAAACAGCAGCATCTCCTTCGGGAGAAATCAAAACATCTCAGACAAGGCCATGTAGCTGAAGAGAGACTAAAGAGGTTTTAACTTTAATCAACAACATTCATGCTTAGAAAAGAAAATATTCAGTCAAAAATAGATGTTAACGAAC